ATATATATATATATATATATATATATATATATATATATATATATATATATATATATTTTTTGCGATTCGTAAAAAATACAATATCAGATAAACATCTTATCTGTTACCATTTTTGACATTACTGAATATTTCTCGAGTAGCTATGTATCAATAATACATAATCGTAAATGAGCAAAAGAAATAATGAATTTTAAAAACACGTTTTAGCTGTTTAAAAATTTTTTAGATTATTCATTTTATACAATACATTTATTATAAACATCTAATTTATATCTAAATATCTATAAATTATCTATTTTAAATAATTTATATATTAGAATCAGAATTAGATATATTATTATAAATAGATATTTTTAGGTCTTTATTTATAAATCTTTATTTATAAATAAAAATATGCAAGTATCTAGTTATATACAATTGATATACGAATTTTATATGAAACTTATTTAAATATGTACACATATATAGGTCGCCACATAGTTTCGCGACTTTAATTTATAGGTTCTCTCAGCAATTTAGCAGTTAATTTTTCATCAGGAAAACGCTAAGGCATCAATAGTTTCTGAGATACAAACGATCGATACAGTGGAGCCTTTCGCAAACTAAATTTCAGACGATCAAATGAATAACAAAATTGTTTTCCTCTGTCAATTTCAAATTGACTTTAACAGAACTTTACTTTAGGTCTTAGTTAGAAAGACATTAAAAATCGGAGAGTCGCCACGAATAATGGCCTCCCACGACATTTTCATGAGCAGGAATTAATTCTAAATTGCTCAGAGAACCTGCCGCTATAAATGAAAATCACAAGAGATGAGACGCCCTGTATATTTTCTTTACAACCAGTTTTTCAGTTCCATCTCTCTGAAACTGCAGATTTCGGAGTTCTGCCAATACACACACGGTGGTCGCGAAATTACATCGGATTTGATCAGCTTGTCGGAAATGGTGAAACCCAAGGGAGGAGGGCTGCCCTCCTTCCCAGACTCGTCTACGATAGAATTCGGACAGTCGAGAGGTCGCCGACTGTTTTTCCGCGATGATTCGGGGCGTCCAGCGCGCGATAAATCGGAGCTCGGCGGTTATGCAGCATACACACGAGGAGCATCCCGCCCGCCAGCTTACGTAATCGCCCTCCGCCCCGCGGTTGCTCACGCGCGCAGACCCGGGAGCTTAATCTGCGTCGGTGCACCTTCAACGGGTGTGCGGCCGCAGCGGAAATTCGCCGCAACAACGCGCCTAAACAATTTGCATGTTCGATCAGCGTGCCGGCGGATCGCGATCGAACGAGACAACGGGACGATTATCGATCCGGCCGGCCGGAAGTGGGAGGCGCTCCCGATCGGGAATACGTTTTTCGCCGAGAGGCAACTCCGCGAAGCGCGTGCGACCGAGGAAACAGTCTCCGAGTCAAATCGAACCTGATCCTGCTCTTTGCTTCCCCGTTTCTTCCTCATCATCTCTGTTTTTCTCTACAATGTGCTGCTTGCTTCCTGTGTCTTCCTCATGATCTCGTTCCGACTAAAGCCTGATCTACAATGCGCCCTTTGCTTTCTGTTTCTTGTTCTCTGTCTTTTTCTGGCTTGAAGCCTGATCTACAATGTGCTCTTCGCTTCCTGCCTTTTTTATTCTTTATTTTCTTCTAACTAAAAGATCAAGATTTAAATCAGAAAGAGATAAACAGAAAGGAAAACATAAAGCAAATAGTACATTGTGGATCGAACTTAAGACTTAAGGTTTGAAAGAGATCAAGAGAAAAAAAGAGAAAGAAATAGAAAGCAAAGAAACACGCTTAATTGTAGATCAAGCTTTAAGTTTGATGTACAATGCGTTATTTGCTTTCTGTTTCTTGTTTTCTATCTTTTTCTAACTAAAAACTTTAGATTTAAGCTTGATCTATAATGTGTTATTTGCTTCCTGTTACTTTTTCTTTATCTCTTTCTGACTCAAGCCTTAAACCTTAAACTAAAAAAAGACGGAAAACAACAGGAAGCAAAGAACACATTGTAGATCAGGCTTTAAGCTAGAAAGAAGTAAAGAAAAAGAAACATAAAGCAGAGAACATTGTAGATCGAGCATTAGAGGACCGATTATTCCAATCTCTTGGTCGTGAAACTAGTTCATTGGCCAATTCCAATCTCTTGATAAGCCAACTAACAATTAAATCATATGTCTATCTTTGTCTAATTTGAAAGAGAAACAAAAACATATGAGTTAACTATCATTTAGCTTACCAAGAGAAAAAATCGAACTTTTAACCCTTAAGTCTGATCTACAATGTGCTCTTTTTCTGGCTAAATGTTTAAGATTTAAGTCAGAAAGAAATAAAGAGAAAGAAGCAGGAAGCAAAGAGAATATTGTAAATTAGACTGGACTGCGACGTGAGGATTCCAAGGACGTCTCGAGAGGATTCCAAGAGTTTTTATACAATACTTTTGAAAAAAAAATGTTTAAAATGATTAAAGTACTAGAGGTTGCAAGTAAACACTACTCAAATATTATCTAACGTCTTTTGTCATATTTTTTCTTATTTAATAAAAATAAAATAGAGTCTCTCATTAACGTTGATAAAAACAATGCCATTAACCTAAGAGTTAAGCCAGAAAATGATGGAAAACGAGAGAGGAAGTAAAGAGTACATTGTAGATCAGTTTCATGGAAGCAACGAATCACGAAGGACCGCGAAAAATCGTGTAGAATCGCAAACAGTGATAATATTTGGACAATCTCGCTTTCACGAAGAGCCTCTTCTTCGTCGAAGCTGGCGTTGTTGTGCGTCTTAATTGAGAGGACGTACGTAACAATCGCAGATGGAGCGAGGGACTCTCATCGTCGTTAATCGTCTTGCGCGCGTTCGTCTTCTGAATCGCGTCGTTGCTTTTCTCTCTCTCTCTCTCTCTGTCTCGGCAGTTCGCGTGTTAGGAACGCCGCCCAATCGCATCATCAGCGTGATGACACAAAAGGAAACAACAATTATCGTCGAGCGCGACAGTAATAGAAAACAACACACGCCTCGCGCAAAACAAGAAAGGAAATATGTCGATGTACTTCAGTGAAGTCTCAACATTTCTTCGAGCAAAAAACTCACTGGTCTTTCTGCAGTCGTTCGCATCATGTCCGGATGTGCCTGTACATCGTGACTGTTGATTATCCCGCAAGACCAATTAATGTCATTTTGATTGTCAGCTTGACATATCGTATCGTGATACATCCAGACACGATAGGAACGATTAGAAAAATTAGTGACGTGCGGTCTAACGATGCAAGTCTATGAATGATAAGTGCGCTAAGATATCCCAAAAAATTCTGGGCGTGCAATCGCATTCAAAACCAGTTAAAAAAATGGCATTTTCACTCGAGCTTAAAGTAGACTCTAATTCCATGTGACGAAATTTCTCAGTTAATTAGAGTGAATTTGTCTCTGTGGCGGTGAAATATATCAGATTCACTCTTCAGTTTTGAGTTAAAATATTTGTTCGGTGATTCAGAGTGGCGATACAATTCATTCAGTGAAAACTCACTCGAATTCGAATGACTCGACGGTCACTCTATTTTTTGAGTGAGGTTTCACTCCAAGTAATTCAGAAAGTAATAGATATACCATGAACGACAAGTTTTTCTTGAATTTATTATGTGCATAAACGACTAAAAAGAAAAAAAAAGAACAATAATGTTTGGAACAGGTTCTGAGATTTTTTATAAAAATCAATTAAATTGTAAAGGGCCTGTAAAAGCCATACGTTGGATATAAGTACTTTATTTATGTCAATTTAAATTATTAGACATCATATGCCACCAATGTTTCGGTCGTCTGCTTTTTTGTATATTTTTAGTGTATATATAAAATTATATATATATGCAGACTTAAATATATTACTACATAATAATAATATAGCACATGATGCCTAACAATTCAAATTAACATAAATAAATTGTACTTATACCCAACGTATAACTCTTACAGCCTTTTATAATTTAGTTGGTTTTTAGAGAAAAAAAAAGAAAAAGAGACGAAATCCGCGGATTCTCACCGAGACGAGAGGATCGACTCGCGGATTCACCGTTTTGCGAACGACGAGGCGCGCCCGGCACACCCGGTAGAATCTGCGCGGATGCCGATGTCGCCTGGGAAGGAACTGGGTCTTGCTATCGCGCGATTTGCATCGGCATCGGCCGATTTCGACATGCACAACGTACGTGTATGCACATATCCCAGCCGCGATATTTCCGCGCCGCGCGACATGGCCATCGTTACGTTTTATCGATTGTCATCGCTACACGCCGCTATTACGTAAACGCCTCCGTTATACGCGGAGTCTCATCTCCGCGCTCGCCGTTATCATGCGGCACCGGCGGCGGCGGTGGCGGCGACGACGACTATAAGATCGATTTCGGGACGAGGGAGGTTAGTTCTCTCGATCTCTATATCGCGACTGATCTGCCGATCCTGTGGAGCAAACGGCGCCTTTGTCAAAGCATCAAACGGTGCCGACTTCTCAGGCACCGTTCTGCTGCCACTTTTGAGGATGAACGCTGCTGTGAAAAATTTTCGAAGAACGAGGCGGAAGGCATGAAAGAGAGAGAAGGGAAAAGAGAGACAGGGATCTTTCTCAATTGTTTTTCTTGCGCAATCTAAATTTTTTTATCTTAAAGACTGAAGTAAAAACGCATTGCGTCTCAAGTTCCAGAAACACGATATGATTCGGCTGAAAAGGATAGGCCTGTGGCGCAGGAAGTGATTGAAACGGGTTCCTTGACGGACCTCAAGCCACGAAAGGGTCTGTAGGATAATGAAACAGTTGCCTCCAAGGGGAGACAAATGACGAAATTGATGCAGGGGACGAAGGAGAAACGGTCTCCTCTTCGTGTGCATGTCTAAAGCTTGATCACGTCTGGACAAAACTTGCTGACGTGGTTCTATTGTTGTCAAAAATTGATAAAGGCAGAGGAGGATCTTACAATCGAGAGACAGAAAAGGTATATACATTTTTTATTGATGAAATATTCAGTGCAAATAAAATGTGTGTATATATATATATATATATATATATATATATATATATATATATATATATATATATATATATATATATATATATATACTTCACATCTCTGATGATAGGAAAAGATTTTATACTTGAAAAATAAAACAAATATATATATATACTTTACGTTGAAGAAATCTTCAATGTAATAATGTATATATATCCGTTTCACCTCTCAAATGTAAAGTCTGTCATCAGAAGTGACGCAGACACATGTATTTTGCACTAGAGATTTCATCATGTAAAAAAATACTTATTAGCTTTACTTCTCACAAGTGTAAAATTCTCTGTCGTTATTTATTTTCGATAATAACAGAGGACGGGAAATGAATGGAAAGAAAGAAAGCGCGAAACGCCGAGATCGGGCGGAAAGTGCGGGCGAGAGAGAAGCGGGATAATATCGACCGGTGCGAGGAATTTAGTCCCGTTCAGCTGTCGTCATGCTCGTCATTGTAATTCCTACGGCGCAACGTAATCGGAAATGAGCCACTCGGTTGCCGACGACAGAGACTAAGCAATTTCGACGGGGCGACCCAACCCGGAAACCCGACATGCCGGCTGTATCTTCCCCGATCTTCATTTCGTTACATCTCTTATCGGATTTCCTGTCTTTCTCCCGGGCAATGGTCACACATACTTCCCTTATCTCAGCCGCATAACTTTCATACGAATATCTCTTCACGGAGAGAAGAGGAGATGGATCGGATTGCCGATTATCATGCCCCGACGAAGGGAACGAGAAGAGAGCCTGGTATCGCGTTCTCACGGGAATGAAGTGCCTTTCTAACCTTAAAAAGGGACGCAGGGAAGGAGCGGAAAGGGGACTTCGTTCGCCGAAGGGGACGAGGCTCGCCGGCTTCGCGCGAACAGGCCGACAGGATCTACGGATCGAAGTTTCCAGATCGCGGCCTTCGTCGCGTACGTATGCGAGACAACGACGGCCCAGTCGACGCGCGAAAGAGACGGAAAGACAGACAGGGAAGATCGCGGAAGGCGACGATCGCGCGCCGGCGATCTTCGGTGACTCACCTGAAGCACGAACGACCACGGAGAAAAGCGGTTACGGGATGCGATCGGGGGACGATCAGCAGTGGCGGTAGTAGACGCACCTTAGAGTCCTGCGCACGGACAAGCACACGTAGCAGCGGCAGTAGAAGCGGTCGTGGTGGTGTCGTAGTTGCCGTACGAACGCCGCGCGGGTCGGAAACGAAGTGGCGAAGCGGCGCGGCGCGACGCGACGCGGAACGGCGCGGGATCGCCTCGCGACAGCGCCGCGAGCCTCTCCTCGTCCGGCTCAGCCAATCAGCGTCCTCCTCGCGGCCCCCTCCCCGCCGCCGGCGAGACCGTTCGGCCGCTCGCTCGCTCTCGCGCGACGTTCCGCCGTTCCGCTATTTCTGAGGAGGAAACTTTCGGCCGGCTCGCGGTGGCCCGTTGCTACCTGAAATCCCGCCGCCGCCGTCGCCGCCGTCGCCGCCGTCGTCGTCGCGGCTGGACCGCGGCGGGTATTAACGCTTCCACGGTGCACTCGTGCAGTGGCCTGCAGAACGCGTTTGGTAATGAAATTGCGGGCTCCACTAACCGTCTAAATTGTAAAGGGCCCATGAGTCCTGTTCTATAATAAATGTAGTAAGCATTTAGCTTTATTGAGCTCTAAGCTCAAAACTCTGTGGTGTGGTTTTCGGCTACAAACGTTTTCTACTGCTGCCTGAAGTCATAATTCACAAACTTCAAGCGAATTGATCAGATTCCAATTGTTTAAGCAGAGGAAAACGCTTTTAGTCAGAAATTATAGGTCTTTGAATATAAAAATTGGGTTGGGAAAATACGTACTTGAAAGTATCTAAGATATATATTTAAATATGTATCTTATTTAAATACAGTATTTAAATAGCAAATGATTAAGTATCTTTAACTTTGTAATTAATTGCTTAATATAAATTTTTGTAATTAATTACTTAATATAAATCGGCGGTAAGAGGCGTAATTTAAATTTAAATACTGTATTTCAAATACTTTTAAATATATATTTGCCCAATCCTGAATATAAGACTCTAAAGACTTACTACACTTATCGTAGATTAAAAGCTATATATTAGTTATAAATACGCTTTGTTTACATTTATATATTTTATTCTTTTTATTTATATTTATGTATTTTTATTTATGTATTGTTGTATTTATGTATTTATGTATCTATGTATATTTATGTATTTATGTATTTATGTATATTTATGTATTTTATTTACATATATTTATAAATTTATATTTATAAGGAATATAAATAAATATATTCATATTTACTAATATTTACATGTACATATTATATAATTTATATTAATATAAATAAAACGTACTTATACCCAACGTATGACTTTTTTAGATATTTATAATTTTGTTGATTTGTATAAAAATGTCACGGCTTTTTCCAAACAATTGTGCTCAGCAAATTATCAAAATTGAGAATTATTATCGACGAACTTACACAATAATAGTAATAATAATATAATCAAGAACATTAAATAATAATTAATAATAATAATTGTGCAAAAGTAATTTATAAGTGAACATAAATATTGTATAAACTTATCCAAAAACATGTCCTTTACGTAAACCTTTCTGCGAACGACTGTACAGTCAGATGATTAAAGTTTATAACGTTCCCTCTGGATGAATTTCCCAGTAGAATAATTTGGTTTCCAGTAATTTTGAGAAGATGCATTTTCCTATTGGGCAAGAAATGTTTTACTAAACTCATTGAGGTAAAGCGTAGCAATCCTTAAGAATTATTCAATATCTTAAACTTTAGATCTCTAAATTTAAACTACCATTGAAAAATTGGCTTTCGATCATCTGACTGTACATAAATCTCTTCATCGAGCTTTATAGAGCTCCTACAATATTACAATTGTGTAAACTATTATGCTAAGAAATATTTCTTTATAAGGCGGCAATCACATTGGTAGAATAAAGTCACATATACGTGACAAAGGCCGCCAAAGTGTTAAGGGTGTATTCGACTATTGGAGATTGAGGATTTTCTCGATTGGATATTTGATTTCGACAAATCGATTGATCTCGATCGCGATTCGCTTTGCTGGCGATTGGTCGGTTGCAACCTTCAATCCGCAATCTTTCATCTCCAATATCTAAGATGCAGTATACTAGACGCTTCACAGGCTTCAAGGTATTTTTTATACAATCGGTGAAAGACAGATTGCACCGCACTTTTACCTCAACTACAGAACGCACCTGGTATTCAATATAGGAAAACGTAATTTGAAACAAATTCTCTTATTGGGTACAGAATATGCGTTGCGAAACTCATCGAAGTAAAGCTGTTGTAACCTTTCATTCAATGACTATACACGGAACTGATGACGTTTTAGAATGCTTTGGAACGCCTGAAATCACTATCAGACTAGATCTATTATATAGGTAGATGTAGACTGAAATAGATGTTACTAGATACACGAAGAGATTAAAGTACGATAAATCACGTACCCAGTAAACTCCAACCGACGGTAACATTACAGCAATGTTATAATTTCTCACTCAATAATGCAAGTACAATGCAATATATATTGTAGGTAACATTTACATATATTGTTGAGTGGAAAATTGCAATTTTAATTAATTATTTACTGAGATTTTGATATAACAGTTTATTGAGTAGTTTCAATCAGCAATCATCAATAGATGAGTTCAATGAAATTATTATATAGATAGAATTTTCTCTATAGTTCTAAAGCCCGAATTAGACAGGATTGAAGATTATGATTGGACCAATCAAGTAATCTAAATCTTGGTTTTGCTTTACTCGATTCTTCTGATTATAATCCTCAATTTACACAATCTGATACAAGCATGATGAAGCATGGTTTTAGTCTAATACAGTTGTAAGGTGACCAGATATTCCAGTCCCAAATCTGGGACACTTCGTATATAGAAAAGGGGAAAAGGATGAGACCACTGAAAAGTACATATATGTATGTGTGTATATATATGAGTGAGAGAGAGAGAATATATATATATATATATATATATATATATATATAATAAGTGAGAGAAAGAGAGTGTGTGTGCGTATGTGTCATTATTTATATGCAATAATCAAGGCTTCCTACATAAAAATAATAAAAATAGAAACTCTTGCTTGTTCTTATTTTTAAAATTAAGAAAAGGAAGCAAGGCTACCAACTTTACCAGAGTTGTAAATTTTCTTGAAAGCTTTGTTTGTCAAAAGTATTTAAAAAATTCTCTGAATATACCGAGACAGTTTGGTCGAATCCGGCATCCCGAATAGCATTCGAAAAAACTCGGGACAAAGGGTGAAACTAGAACTGTCCCGGGAAAAAGGGGACGTTTGGTCACCTTATTAATGGATACAATTCCTAGTATGACATAAACATCAAACGCAAGAATGAGCAAACGCGGATTTGAGCACTGTTCGTCCTCGAGTCCAAACTTCCATTAAATTTTGATCGAATGGTTGATCGAATTTCCATCAAATATTTTCTGTCTTTCAGGTGTTCGTCTGGCTCGAGGACAAAGGCCTCCTGTTCCTTTAATGGCATTGGAGCTTTGTTCATCTTCCCCTCAACGCTAGATTAAACACTTGTTTCACTCTGGAGGGAAAAAGTGCAGCCTAGTTCAGCTAAAAAGAGCAGACCTCGAGTCTTATCCCCCCGAGAACAATGGCGTTGTCGATGGCGCGCTCGAAGAATCGCTCCCGTTATCGATCGCGAACGGACCGGCCGAGGCCCTTCGTCTACGTGCCAAGGTCAAGGCCCGACCTCGCGCCAGCCAGCTCGCAAGCCCTCCTCTCTCATCGGACGTGCGGCTCAGCTCCTCGTGGTCCACCGGTGTGGCTTCTACACGACAATTCGCGTATGTACGTCTCCGAGGAATTATGTAACCAGACTTTCGACTAGTCCAACGCTGCTCCGCTGTTCTCGCAAGCGCTCTGCGCGTTCCCATCCTTGGGGACCACATGCGTCGATCGTATACCGGGTACGTTGTGATTATACATCTAACGTAATTCGCATGATTGTAATCTGACGTGCTCCAGACTTAATTAAAGTCTGCGGATTTAGATGTGACTGAAATTTGTGGATTTTCACTGCAGTGTGCATTAATGTGGATTTTCATTTCAGCACGCTCGGAAATGAAACAAGAAAGTGACGCAGAAGTATTCTCTAAATTCCTTGGTATGAATCTTTTTTATTCAAAAAGTAGAGTGACTACTATATGTGTGTGTCGAGTACGAGTAGAGGTGAATTCCTTACTCTGAATCGTCGAGTGAAAATCTTTCTTCGAAATTAAAATCTGAATAGATTACAGAACAGCTTAGACACGATGAAGTTGGGAGTTCACTCAGCTATCATAAATAAGATTATTACTGATGGATTTACGCGCAGTAATAATATAATTAATAATACTAAATAATATAATTACTGTATAAATCCATCTGTAATAACTCTCAATTTTGACAGTTTGGTAAGATTCCAATTTTATTGTGTCTAAATCATTTTGCAACCACATTACAGAAAGTTGCTAAATTATTTAACACATTTCACATGTCCCAAAATTCATCCATTCTAATTTTTGTGTTAATTTAACATGAGGCAAATATATTAACAAATAACTCATACACGTTACACATAAAATATGTCACTAAGAGTGTACATGTTACATGTAAATTGTGTTATTTTAACACCTAGAAATGGTGAATGTAAACTCAACGCAGAATAGTCAAAATAACACAACGACAATATGTTAAATTAATACACAGGGGTTCTAAGTAAAAATTTAACACAAAAGTTTCTACACAGGTCGATTTCAACACAAGTATAAAATGTTTTTACTGTATAAAGGCCGATTTTTCAGTAGCAGCTTAAGCTTGAATTTAAATCTAAACTCTGTTCCAACAATATATCCATTGTAGTTGAATATAGAGTTTAAACTGGAAATCTAATTTTAAACTACTATTGAAAAGTCGGCTTTTAATGTATACTTCGTCGTCACAGGCACATATGCGCTCTGATCAATGAAGTCCACTCTAAATTGAAGTGAAACATTCACCCTTGCGTTCTTGGTGGTGTTTTTACTGTTATTTTGAGTGAACTTTGAGTAACTTTGAATTATTTTGTGAGTGTTACTTTGAGTGAAAATACTGCTATTTTTCACTGACGTTCTGATTGGGCTTCAATTTCAAGAAATTCAGAGAGTAGCTGATTACTCTAATGAGACAAGTGACAGTGACTCCTCATTCTCTCCCTTCCCCCTTCCCTTTTCGCCACCTTTCTCTCTCTGTCACACACACACATACACACACACACAGATCCTCTTTTCTCTCCTCCCCTCTGCAGAAACCGCTAGCATTCCGCGCTTTTTCACCGAGCCGGCATGGAACGCGGAAATATCCCAATTAAACTCGAGGATTAAACGCACCGCTGCGCGCGTATCGCTTCGGTCCGATTCCACGGCGTTCCGGCATTCGAGGAGGGTGGTATATAGGTCACGGCGGATGGATTTCCGGAGAACGGTAGGATTCCGGGAGTGTCGGTCGGCCCGTCTCGTCCTTCACCCCGCCGTCCCGCTGCTGTTACGAAATCAGCTGTGCGCGCTCGGGTTGTTGTAGGTCGCGCCGGGGGTCCCGTCGCCACCCCCGTTTGAGAACCCACCACCCCCGCGACACACACACAGAGAGAGACACGAGGCGGGGACGTTGGGAACGGGGAGGGGGCGACTAAAGGTCGCTGGAAGCTCGCCGGAGTAGATCAATACGAAAGCCACATGCCTGCTTGTGTGCCTATCTACCTACCTACCTACCTACCTACCTACCCATCTACCTACCTACCTACCTACCTACTTATCTACTCATCTACCTACCCACCTTCTTACCCTGTCGCGCCAATAAGAATATCCGGAGGAGAGGATTGAACCTTTTCTCGTCTAGAGTCTCGCGCCCACGTCCCCGTTTATTGTCGTGTGTGATGATAATCGTTTAATCTCTGCTGGAGGGCGAGGCAGGAGGGAAGAGTCGGCGAGAGTGAACATCGGTGCGTTGCACGCTGCGATGCAAATCACGTGGGAGACGACGACGCGGTCGAGGAAGATCCTACGGATGAGACATGGATATTGGACGAGTGCAAGTCTGCTCTTGGAATTTCTGGAAATAAAATTGCATGCGAGAAGCAGACTAACGGTCGAGTTGAATGACTTATCATTTATGTAGAGTGATTTATTCTTCATTCTGAGTCGGCGATTATTTTCACTCGAGATTGTGCAGTGAATCGGATGTGTTCCATTGAACAAATTCATTGTAATCGATTGAGACACTCGCTCATATCAGTTAAGGGAGAATTCATTTTTTAGGTTTGAATTAATCTTTTTAGAGGGATACTGACATATACGTGTAGATATGTCCAATTTCTTTTTTTTAATTAACATTACCGACATATAACGAATATTACTGTGAATAAACATTCATCAAAAATTCCACAAAGAGAAATATCGTAACATGACTGATAAATGTCATATTTATTACTTTAAACTTAAATCAGTTCCTTCTAATTTTGATAAATTCGTCCCTGAAGAAGTTAAAGATTTACTCTCTTATCCCGAGTAGCGAAATATTTTCACTATCACTTCTCACTCATGTCGGATGAGATTTCAGTCCAAGAAATTTAGATCAGAGAATATTCTTTGATCTAACTCGCACAGATCAAAATAATAGCCTTAATATTTATTAGGCATATCTGAATTTTTCGATTACAAGCATCGTGTCTATATTTATGCATCATAATTACTAATTGTTCAAGGAAATAATAGTATTTTATTACTTTTTCTTTTATATGTAATTTTGCGTTATAAATGCCGTTTAGTCTAATTGATATTCGAGATATCGCTGCTGTTTCCTCAAGTGAGAAGATATAATGCGCATGATTAAAAAAATTTCAGTAACCCTAAAACTAAGTCTACAATAGATGTAATAGATCTTTAGCTTTTTGCTTTAAGGCCTATAATTTCTGACAAAACATATTTTTCGCAATCTCTTAATAGCTAGAGTATGGGCAGCTCGATTAAAGTTTAGGGATCACAACTTCAGACAGCAGTGGAAAGCTGTTCTAGCCGAAAATTACATCACAGTTTTGGACTTAGGGCAAAAGGCTATAGACTTACTACACACCCGCCCTAAGCCTGATAAATGTTGAGGCCATCATGTCGGCTTGTGAACAATCAGTGGAAGTTAGGTTGCAACATTTTTATCTCCATGAGCCTTCTGAGAAGTGCCGAGGAACGAATTCTTCTGTTGGACACGAATACATTATGCAATCCATTGGAAAAAAGTGTTGCGACCTTCTCCCACAAGTTGTACGTGAAGATTCGCGTCGGGAACGTTACGGTTATTAATCCACGGTTTCCTCGTTTTTTTTATCGTTTCATGGAAATGTCTCGCGAACGAATCGACCTACTGCCGATCGTTGACTCTCTCTCCGCGTTTTCCGTCGCCGCACGGCAACGTGTGCGCGCGCGCACACGCTCTAACGTAATTTATCGTTTTGTTTTTTGAAACTCCGAAATAGACGCGTCGATAATCGATACGGTGTCGCGCGGCGACGAATACTTGTCCGAAACCGTCGCCGTTAAATACGTAAAATGATCCCTTCGGGATGAGCGAGGAGAAGCGCTTTCTTCATACATTTAGCCTGGCTCGAGTCGAAGAGAGAGAGCTAGAGAGAAAAAGAGAGAGAGAAGGAGAGGCAGAGAGAGAGAGAAAGAGGGGAACAGGAGGAGGAGAGAGAGAGTGGAAGAGGAGAAGATGGGAGAAGCCACTGTCAATGCTGAGCGCACCTCGCACACCCATTATGTAATTTGGTGTACGTTGGACGTCGAGTATACTCATATTTTCCGCGGAAATAAATCGGCGGGGCTGAGCCAACGAGAGACGACGAGCGCTGGCACCTTGAAAACGCCCGTGCCAGCCACTGCCGTTCATACAAACAGTTTCTGCGTTCGTTAAAATTAAACGAGATTTCGCTCGCGCCGTTCGTGCAAAACGAGATTTTACATACAATTATATGTATGTACAAGCTATGTAACACGTGTGTGTTTCCTTTTTCTCCCCTTTTTTTTCTTTTCAACGTTTGTCTTGTTCTTGCAGTCATTGTTGCCCGACCGAGCGGGAAGAAACCGCTGCGCGGCCAATCTCGGAAACAACCTCGACATCCGGTCGCCGAGACACTGACCGCCTTCGCAGAATTCCCGCCCAGGAAGTATTACGATTCGGTGAGGTCGTGTCCATATCGGATTTACGCTTAACGGCGCGCCGCTAGCACAGATTCAGAGATCGTACAAATGCAAAGGCGTTGCCAGACGCCTTGTTCTATAATAAATATATAAATATAGGTTGTAAAGTGCGAAGCACACACGCAACACACACACACACACACACACACAAAGTGTGCGAAGTGTCTGAAACTGGGTCGAGTTTCTTCTGCTCTTGCACTCGTCTTTCTCGGGCTGTCTCCAAGCAAAGTATCTTACAATAAGGCCCATTCTAATACACACATATACACAAGGTATTTCCAAATTAACACGTTGACTACCACGCTGACTTCTACTGCATATTTCAATGTTCAGCTAAAGTTCAAATTACTAAAGATAAAGATACGGTAAATTAAAGCAATTCATAATAAATATTATTAGCTGGTTTCGTTGGCTCCCTATTGGCTATATATTTTATTTGTGTTATATATATTTGAAGGAAAGTTTCGTTATTTTATATGGTCCAGTTACAAAAAAATTCTTATTTATTCTGATTTATCATTTTATATGTATACAGAAAAATATCGTTCCATTGCTAAGAAAAACGGTTACTTGATTTAATTTGCTTCTGTTAAGTAATGGTTATTATCCCCGATAGAGAATATTTTTTAATAACATATACAAACATAAATAACTTAAAATATATTCGTCACAAATTTGAGAAGCTTATCGCGCACTGAAAAGCAGGATTTATTCTCTTTGCAAGAATATTATGAAATTATATTTTATTGAAGAAAAAGTTGTTTTGTCTCTACATAATAAGCAAGCCGAATTTTTGTTTAAATTTAATATTCTTAGTTAAAATGTTAAACTAGGATTTGAAGGATTTGTATCTTGAACAAATTTAATGCTTATAATAAACTCATAACAGATTTTTAAATATATAAACTTACGAAATACTTACAACAAGCAACATTTATTTAAACGTACTATGTATTTTTCTATGTGTGTAAATCAATATAACGCAGCAATATTATAGTTCACTGGTGATCCATGTTATAACACTGTGGGCCATGGTAGTCAACGTATTATAATTTTTAAAGCGCTAGATTTTCTTTTTATTTATTTGCTAAAATAATAAAGCGTCTTTTACAAGAATAATGCTTCCCATAAAGTTGAGATGGACATTTGTAAGAGAAAAGCTTGTAGAGAGAATAACCAAAATTCTATTTTGAAAATCACTACTGACGTCTAATATATTTACACATTGTGATATCATCAGCGAGCACTCATTTTGGATTTGTGGCAAAGATCAATCAATGTCGAGAATTAATTTTCTCTCATTGTATTCAACTTTACTAAGAGTAAATAATTCGGTATATAATTATAAAACTCAAGCTCAATATGTTTTTGCCTTTATTTTGATGTTATTTTATTGCTGGTAAAATATCTGATGATCTTTAAGGACATTTGGCGCGAAATTTGGACATATTAAAACTCGCCAAACGGTAAGCGTGGCGCTTTAAAGGATTACCATCGAATTGCTTTGAAACACTCTCTAAATAAATTGCTATAAACACGTATATTTACTATACACAGAATTATGCATTTACTATACACAAAAAAAGTTTTGTAATAGTTAACTAATGTATTTGATTGAGCATTTTAATACGATATTTAGTATATAATTAGTATCAAATACAGTAATATTTACCAACCACATGAATGATAATTACGAATGATTAGTGAAACAAATTTTTCATTTAGTTGTATCAATTAAACGGTTTGGAAAATAATACTAAATAATTTAGTAATAAATACTAAATATAGTGCGATTATAATCAAAGGCTTTAGTCATTTCGTATATTTATCACGTAATATATATTATGAAGTATTATTAAACAATATGGTTTTTTTCATAAATTGTTTCATGACATGTATCACATAAATTGATAATTTTACCAAATCTTAGTAAGAGATACCACAAGCCTTGCTAAGATTATTTGTTAATATTTATCAAATTATTTGATTATATTCGCCTACATGTTTAATTGAAACTACTTCACCAATCTGATAACTATTACCAGGCTCGGTGGTTATTATCAAGTGTTTTTTATGCAAAATGTTACATCTGAAATCGTTCGCGTTCAGTTTGAGAAGAGCCCCGAGAGGCTCCCGATGTTTCTCAAGCCGAACGCGAGTCTTTTTTGCGCCGTTATTACATTCAGCTCTTCAATCCCTCAATTAGAGTCCTCGGCGGAGCGATTTGCCGGCCGTGACCTCGTTACGCTCGCGCATCGCGCACGATCCAGGAAAATGAAGAGAGGAACGGGGTTTATTGGACACGAACGAAGAGGATGGCTGCGCCGAGCCTCGCCAAATATCTCTCGGCGATCCATACGGCTGGACGTAGCGCGGGTGTGACATTCTTTCGACGAGCGACGGGACGGGAACTCGGGCCGGTATCAGGACAGGAGCCAATGGCCGGTGGATAGGCGTCCGGTCGCCAAGAGACCTCTGCCAAACGAAATTTTCTACTCCCCCTACCTCGCGCGTCGCCCACCGTTGTCCCTCGTCGCTGGACTCACGTGCTGGCGAAATCGGCGACCTCGTCCAAGGCTCGGCGAAGTGAGACCAGAGATATTTCAGTTACTAATAATCAACCAGACCACCCTGAACATGCGAGGACGCTCCTCGGCCGTCTTTCGAATATCGTCGTTGTTCGGCAGAATCGCAGAATGACGGGCGACAGTGCACGATGATCGCGGAGCTACGAGGCTAGATTTAGCGCGGAATTCTCGTAGACCGGCTGCTCCAGGGTCTCTCTCTCTCTCTCTCTCTCTCTCTCTCTCTCTCTCTCTCTTTCTCTCTTTCTCTCATATTCTCTGGGAGGGAAGCTGGAGGTCTGGGCCTGTTAGCGGCTGTTGGGACCGAAATACGCAGCGGCAGCGCGGATGCACCGACGAGAATTGTTCGCCTGGCTCTTTTTTTCTCTCTTTCTCTCTCTCTCTTTCTCTCTCTCTCTCTGTCTCTCCCGTTTGCGCCGCCGTCGCGGCAGAGATAAATCTTCGTTGTGGTACAGTCGGTTCAGGCGATGCACGCGCTCCGCGAGTCTCTCAGACTGGACATCGCCCTTTTCTCGTGAGCTCATTGAGAGTTCAAGGAAAAGAACGGTAATCGCGCGTGGATATTGCGCGAATATGAATCACGCTCGTCGGGTATGCAATGATCTCAAGAGAAAAGGATGAAAGAAACGAGAAAGAGCTGTTGAGCTTGGCCGCCGCGTATGACCTCGCGGATTTATTTCCAACGTCTTCTAAACATTTCAGCTTGTTTCGTAAAGGCAGGAACCGATCCGACGCTGGATCGCCCCTCAGTAGCTATTTTATCATGAGTGGATTATATTACAGCTTGTGTAATAAACTAAAACGAATTGGACGAACAAATTTTTAAAAAGTGTTAAACATAGACGAGGGCTCCTTTGAAAAATTTCCAAAATTAATATTTCTTGTGGGATACTAAATAAAAAAGGAAGGAAAGAGAAAAATTATTTGGAACTTTGATGTGTTGCCATTTTGTTAAACTCCGACTTTTTGTATATAACAAAGGTTTATCGTCCAACAAATTTAATACAGTCTTTTTAATTTTCTCATCGTATTTCAAGTTATTACACGAGCTGTTCAATGTTGTTCACCAGTTTTAGAAAGACCAGTTTTAGTTCGTCCGGCGACTTCGCGTTTGGCACAAAAAACCTGCACGATCAAATTTCAATTCTTTTTTAAATTAAAAAATGACTTTTTTATACGTAAAACAATGATAAGTATTGCAATTGTAACTGTATTAATACTTTTACTTATTTTTTTAAAAACAATTCGTGAAAACTATTCTTTCAGTTATCTAAAACAGAATCTCTTCAAGTTATTTAGGATGCTTATGAGAGAGAAAAGGGAGAAGCTTGTGAGAAAGAGAGACACACACACACAGAGAGAGAGAGAGAGAGAGAGAGAGAGAGAGAGAGAGAGAGAGAGAGAGAGAGAGAGAGAGA